GGAATAACTACCACCAGCTGCCCAGCCACCCAACCAGGCCCAGCCAACTTGACACACCAACAAAACCAACACACCTTCTTTGGTCATATTGTCAGAAGGGACCATTCGCTGGAGAAGGATATCATGCTTGATAAAGTAAAGGGTCAGCAAAAAAGGGGAAGGCCCTCAACGAGATGGATTGACTCGGTGGCTGCAATGGTGGACTCAGGTATAGCAAGGATTGTGAGGCTGGCACAGGACAGGTTAGTGTTGCACTCTGTTGTGCATAGAATTGCTGAGTTGGAGCCAACTCAATGGCACCTAACAACAACAACAACAACTAACCTAAAGGGTGGTGGTTCAAACCCACCCAGTGCATGGTGGGAAGAAGAGCCTAGGGATCTGCTTCTGTAAAGATTGTAGCCAAGAAAACCCTATGGGGCAGTTTGACTCTGTAACACAAAATGGACGCCCTGAGTCAGAATTGACTCTTGGCAATGGGGTTTGCTTAGTGGTTTGAGTCTGTGTAAATCACTCCCCCACCCCCACCCCCATTTCTCTAGGTAATACTTCTTTCTCCACAGCCACCCCAGCATGATGGTGGGGGCCAGATTCTGGGAAGAGTGGAAAATGTCCCTGGGGATGAGGGGAGGGGTGGATCCTGCCCTTGAAGTTGTTGTACCCCAGTCGCAGGAAGCCACTCCCTCCCACTCGCTTGGATGCTTCCTGCCCTGTCAGGACCTCCCCAGCGGCCCAAGGCGACCATCTTTTAACCGCAACCTGGGCGCGCTGTGTGGATCCCTCCCTTCTTCTTCAGCCTGGGAGTGCAGTTGGCTGAGGACGCTTGGAGGACTTTTTCCCTCCCGCCCGGAGAGGGTAAGGGGAAGAGGCGTCTGGGCATGACCGGGACATCCACAATAGCTGGGAGCCTCGCTGAGCCCAGGGTCTGAGAGGAAGACCCGGGCGCGCCAAGAGGCGGCTCCAGGCGCCCTCTTGGGTTTGAACTGTGCGTGACAGGGGTGGAACAAGGAGGGCCCCGAGGCCAGGGGCGTCGCCGTGGGCTGGGCACCAGCTGGGCGGGGCTGGCAAGGCCCGGGAAAGTTGGTTTCAGTGCCCCCCGCCTAGGTAGAGAACCAGCCCGGCTCGCAGCTGGGGACATTCTCTTGGGAAATGATGATGATGTAGGTCCATAAACGTACCAGGGTGGCGCCCAGTGGCGGGCGAATATGGCACCCGAGTCATCCCCAGGTAGCGGGCCAGGTCTAGGGAAATCCTCTTTCCAGAAGCTCTGTGCCCTGGGCCAACCTGGGCCTCGAGAGTGGACGAAACGAAGTGTCCCTCGGTGAGGCCTCCTCCCGGAGGGCGGGGACAGGGCGGGGCTGAAGGTCTCCAGGCAGGTGCCGGGAAGAGGTGCCCAGCCCTGCCCCTGGAGGCCATTCTTGGAGGCCAGAGGCGGGTCAGAGAAGCGGACAGTGCAGGCGACACCTTGGAGCGCGCGGGTGGCGACTTCGCCCACTGGTGCCGCTCAGGGCAAGGTGTCCCAGCTCTGAGCATCAAAACCCTGGCGTTGGAAACGGAGACTTCGAAGCTGCTCCCAACGCTGAACCCCGAGGCCCCCGGGCCGGAAAGCAGAAAGAACCCTGGGGTCGTCTGAAGAGTGGGGTTGCGAGCCCCCCGGCCAGACAGCGAAGCTCCGGGGCCTGCCACAAAGCGGAACGTCGAGGTCCCTGAGCCCTCTGTAGAGCAGGTCACCGAGACCCCCGATGAGGAGAGCGAATTCTGTGGGTCACCAGCGGGCAGGACTTACAGGGTCCTGGGTCGGCCGCAGCCGGGGGCTCTGAGAACTCCGGGCCGTCCGAAACTCAGAGCGCGGAGGTTTCGGGGCAGTGCCTCCCTCAGAATCTCGAGACCCCCTTCTCTAGGTCAGCCCCAGCAGCTCCTCGGCTGCTTTTCCCACTGCTCCCCGAGAACCGCCCACCAGCCCTCGAGGAGCTGCTCATGGAGACGCCTATCGAGCGCGAAATCCGGCGCACCTGCGAGCGCGAGGAGAACCTGCGCCGGAGCCGAGGCCTCAGTCCAGGTCGCGCGGGCCAAGAACTCGTGGAGCTGCCCTTGCGGCCAGTGCTCAGCCTGCCCGGGCCTAGCCCTGCGGTCCCGCGCACCTTGGAGCGCGCGCGGGCGGGAGCGCAGATGCTGCGAGACATTGAACGGGAAGCCTGCCGCCAGGAGGCGCTAGCACGCGCCACCGCCCCCAAGCCCTGCGCCCCGCCACAGCCGCAGCCGCTGGGCGAGCTCAAGAGGTTCTTCGAGGCCGCGGGGCAGCGCGGCTTGCAGCAGCCGCTCGAGATCGGAGGCCAGCGGCGCTCGGCTGCGCAGGGCGGGTGCCCGATGCTGGCCCGCGCCCCTCAGTTCGCTGAGCTATCGCTGCTGGAGGAAGAGGTGCGCGAAGTGCGCCAGCGTGAGCGCGAGCTGCAGTACCAGCGGCGCAACGTCTACGGCACCGCAGAGTTCAAGGAGCCCGCGACAAGCTTCATGGGTGAGACGCAGGCGTCGGCACGCCATGGTACCTTAGGGCTCCAGTCGCGCCCTCCAACTGTCCAGCTCTACGGGTTGCCCCATCGGGTTCAGAAATTCTGGTGACCCCTCTCAATTCTGTGTCCTGCCCACGCCTCTGGACTGCCGATTCCTGGGTACTCATACCCTACCCTGAGTAGACGACTCCAAGATCCACCTCCCAAGGCACAGGCATTCCAGGGACCGCTGCCTCGCTAACGCTCTGTCATCCTGTGCTCTCTCTGAACTTCCGGGCTCCTACCTTCTCACTCTAGTGTTCGCTTCCCTCCTCCTTCAGGTTTCTGGTCCCCAGAGCTGGAGGGAGGCCTCCAGGGTTAGGAGAGGGGTGAACGCCTGTGTGTGTTTAAGGGGCATGGCCGGCCTTCTCTGTCCTGGCTGCCCCGGCAGGTAAGAGGAGGGGCAGCCCCAGCTAAGCGCCCCTTTCTGCCGTAGCGAGTACCGGCAACGGAAAGCTGGCGGTGATTTGGCCCCCGCGCAGAAAGGCCTCGGAGAACGTCCTGGAGCAGGTAGGAGCCCTTTACTATACAGTGCCCCAGCGCTCGTCGTCCCCGCCCCACCCTGCGCGCAAGGACACTGGGTCAGGAAAGGTGCATGTCCACTCCCGCTGAGGAACCACTCTGGGCTAGGGCACAGAGGCCAGGGCGCGGCCCCCGGATGAAGAGGAAGCAGTGGGCCCAAGGCCCAAACCGCCCACCCCGCGCTAAACATCCCCACTGTGGTTGTTGGTCCCTGAGGGTGGCCTTCCATCTGGCCCCCTCTCCCCAGGAGGAGCGCAAGCCTTGAGGTTTGAGCAGGCTGGGATCCCTGGAGGAAACAACCTTCACGTCGTAGGACCAGGTCGTAGGACCAGGTCAGGAGCGTCCCAGGATCGCGAGGAGGCCGGAGGAGAGTTCAGCCGTGTGCACAGGCCATGATGAAATCCTCGAGCCTGACTTTGTGAAACTGGCCAGTTCCTTCTCTAAAACTGTTTAGTCTCCCTCTGGAAACCTGACCACTACCCCGGTCCCTTTAAGTGAAACCGTCCAGTCCTTCGCGTAACTCTGCAAACGCAACTAGCCTCTCTCAGGCCTTGACTGTTAGAGGGCCAGGGTCACTGCCTCGGCTGCCTCCCACTCTCCAATAAAGTTCCTTCTTCAAGGACAGTGCAAACTGTTCTCGTCTTCGCCTGGGGTGAGGCCCGAGCGCGGCGGGCGTTGGGGGGGCCCTGGGAAAGCCGCGGGAGGGGAGGTCTGGAATGCACTCCTTTTGCCCTTTTCCTCCACTGCCCGCCTCCCCAGGCCAGTGTCCTGCTGCCCCCTGGCGGCGGCGCGGGCTCGAACTGCAGCTTCCGGACCGCCGCGCTCACACTCGCCCTTTCCTGGCAGCGACATTAAAATTTATTGGTGCCAGTGGCTTGCCCCGCGCTGGGCGCTAGCTAGATACAGATAAGAGCTGTTCCTGCCCCGGGGACGTAAACAATAGCTGGCCCTCCGTAAAGAAGTGGGGAGCGCAATCTCCTTACCAAGGCATGTTGATTAATTTCCCAGCAGTTGCAAACCTCAGAAGCCTACTGGGGCCAGGCAGATAGTAAAGAGCAGGAAATGGGCCCCCTGTGAAGCAATAGGGAGGGGTGGGGTCTGGGGTGTCCTGGAAACAAATGCGTGAGCTCTGTGATGCCCAAGCTTCTGCTTTTCAAAAGCAACTGGAAACCCAGCTTTTGAAAGAGAAATCTACTGAACTTTAAATGACTGTGACTATTTAGAAAAAGCTTTAAAAGTTGTTGGGGGGGGGGGGAGGTACTAACGCCACCTGTTTGCAGTAGGGCCTGTGGCTGGCTGCTAATTTGCAAGCCTTGGTGGCTTCTCTGTCCTGGGACAAAGGTTTCAAGGCCTCCTGAGTGGGGCTCAAGTGGGTCTGTGAATACCCTAAAAAAAGAACAAAACCAAACTCACTGCCGTGGAGTCAGATCCGACTCATAGCGACCCCTCCTTGGGTTTCCGAGGTGGTATCATTGTGAAGTAGATTGCCCAATCTTCCTTCTGAGAAGTGGCCGGTGGGTTTGAACCGCCAGCCTTCGGGTTAGCAGTCAAGTGCCTTAGGTACTACAGTACTACAGTACTACGCCACCAGACCTTGTTGTTGTTGTTGTTGTTTGCCGTCGAGTCGGGCCCAACTCATAGCGACCCCTCCTTGGGGTTTCCGAGGCAGTATCACTACGGAAGTAGGATTGCCCAACCTTCCTTCCGAGGAGTGGCTGGTGGGTTTGAACCGCCAGCCTTCTGGTTAGCAGTCAAGTGCCTTAGGCACTATGCTACCAGAGCTCCCACCAGACCTTAGGGGTTTGTAAAACTCTGTGTGGTCATAGTCTGAAGAATGCGGCTATGGTTTAACAAACAGCTTCTTGGAGGTGCACTGAGACAGAGACATTCTAGAATCACTGTTCAAACTCCTGTTGTTAGCTGTGTGGATCACAGTGCCCCCATGCACAACAGGATGCCACCATTGTGATTCAGGGGGTTTTCACTGGCTGATTTTCCGAAGTAGATCACCACACCTTTCTTCCTAGTCCATCTTCCTGGACGGTCCACTGAAACTCAGTGTCATGACTGACAGGCAGGTGATGGGTGCACATGAGGTGCCAGAAAGTGAAGCCGGGTCTCCTTCATGGAATGCAAGAATTCTACCCTGGCCCACGCTGCCCTCTGTTTAAACTAGATCTGTCCAACTCTGTATGCCCTGGCCCTAGCAATAGGCCTGAGGCTGCATAGGGACAGGAAATGGTTAATCAAGGATGGATGGATAGATAGAGAATGGAAAGACTCACACAGCACTGCACCCAAGAGCAGCTCAGGCCAAGAAAAGGTCTGACCCCGACCTCCGTCATCACCATATTGCCCACATGATTGACCATGGCGATGTAATGTCTGGAGAGAAGGCAGGGAAGAGCCAAGGCTGCCTAAGGGAGAATGAAAACGCCCAGAACATGTTTTTAATTCCCAGAAGGGGAGCTAAGAACTAAGCATGTGAAGAGGTGAACAAGAGAAACATGAGGTGTAAACAGGACAGTGTAAGTATAGCCTGGGAGTTCCCTAACTTTGTTGTTCTTGTGTGCTGTCTAGTTGATTCTGACTCATAGCCACTCTACAGAACGGAGTAGAACTGCCCCATGGGTTTTCTAGGCTGTAACTTCTATGGGAGCAGGTCTTTTCTTCAATGGAGCCGCTGGGGGGTTCAAACCCAGCCCTTTCTGTTAGCAGCCAAGCGCTTAATCGTTGTGCCACTAGGGCTTCTTTTCACTAACTTTATTACATATTAAAATCACCTGAGGTCCTCTAATTAAATCAGAATGTGAGGGTGGGGCCGTAGCTTCAATGTTTTTTAAAACTCTTCAGGTAGTTTTGACTTGCAGCCAAGTTTGAGAACCAAGCTGTGGACCAGCACAGAGTAAAATTGGACCAGCTGTATCCACATCACCTATGAACTTCTCGAGCCTCCCCTTGGAAACAACTACGTGGTTGTGATGCGTGGTAAAGTAGGAGTGCGTGAATGTAAACAGTTCTTTCCAAAGAGGACCCAGGAAATCAAGCCTGTTAACTTCCCCTCTCAGTATTGTCACCACTCACCAGAAACTTTAGCCAGATGCCCTGCGAACTTGTCTTAAGGGAGACTAAAGCTGTGCTGTGGCTAGTCTGAACTGAGATGTGCTATAAGTGTAACTGCACACCAGATTTCAAAGACTTGGTTTAAAAAAAAAAAAAAACTTTTTACACTGAATGAAGTATTTTGGATATATTGGGTAAATTAAAAATACTAAACTAAATTTGACCTCTTTTTTCAAAACGTGGCTACCATAAATTTTGAAATCACATATGTGGATCGCTTTATATTTCTATTGGAAAGCGCACGTCTAGAGTTTTAAACCATGGAAAAGTCACATAGGCTATTTCAAGTCAGTATCAGGGAGCTTCAGAACCCTTTTGAACTCATTCAGACCTGGGCTGGGCACTAAAAAAGCCATCATGTGTTCAGAAGTTGTGATCAGATCTCATGAAAGAGCAAGGGCTTTTGTGTCCAATCCTGACTTCATTACTTTCTAGCTGTTGATTCACTTCACTTGTCACTTCCGGTTTCCCTATCTGTAAAATGAGGCTGATGATACTATGCGCCAGGAACTATTAGGCAGGCGAGTGCTTTGCTCAAAAGCGTAAGGATAGGGCTCCAGGTTTCTCTTCTGACTCTTAAAAATGTCGGGAGGAGTGTAGGACGAGACCAAGGCGTCCCATCGTTTAAAGGGGGAAACTCACTGGTGCGTTAATATCCAGGACACTGACCACTCCCATCACTGTGTCTTTGGACAGGTGAGTTCCACCTTTCACTTCAGTCCAAAGTTGGGGTGAGGCTTAGAGATCCCAAGTTGGAATTATTTACAGCACTCTCACGTCCCGCTGCGCCCCAGAGAGTCTGCTGCAGAACTGCGACCGGCAGGGATCCATTACCCAAAAGCTGGAGAAGCTCTAACCGCAGTACTTCGGAAACTGATCGTCGGCCCTATCCTGATGCACATCGGGAAATGAAGTCTCTTGCAGTAGAAAAATGTACTTCCGGGTCAAAGTGTGAAAACGGGCGGGGCTACCGCTCCCACCCACACTTCAGTAGGCGTCGGATTTCCTGGCTACCCAAAACTAGCGATATCCTGACTTCCGGTATTGACTGGCGCCGCTACTTTCTTTTTTGCTTCAGGTGCACCAATACGCATGCGCTGCGCTCTTGCCTGCCTATCTGCACGCTATTGTTACTAAGAACTACATCTCCCAGAAAGCCACGCGAGTGGGCGGGGCCTTCCCGTCCCAAGGAGAGGGGCGCGGCGCTCCTAGCAGACGCGGAGCTTCTAACGTTTTTCTTTTATTCAACACAAAAAATTATCATGTCCACACCCAGGGCCTCGCTGCCGTGCTGGATCCAGTACCGACAGGTCACCGTGGCCTTACCCCTTGGAAGGAGAGGCCGGGCTGCACTCCTAAGGAGAACGAGTGAGCCCCTGCCCTGCCCCTTTTCCTGGAGTTTGGAACTGTCAGGTTCCAGCTCCCACTCTGTCCCGGGTTCAAGATCCCTGCGCAACCCAAGCCACGGGCCCGGCTGCGCTCGGAGGTCGGGCAGTGCCTGTCTGGCCCGTGAGGATCTGCACCAGCAGGTCAGTGGCCAGCATGTGCGAGGGCTCCTCGAAGCCGATGGTCAGCAGCTGCTGATAGTCCCCAGGTGGCTGCGGGCATAAAATCCTGGGAACCGGAGACAGACAAGGCCAGACGTGAGCGCCCCCTGCCCCTCAGGAACCCCCTTCCCTCAAGCGAAAGTCTATAGCTAAAAAAGGCCTTGTTTCAGCTGAGGATGGGAAAACTTGGGGGAAAGTTGTTTCCTTATTGATGAGAAACCTAGAGGAAACTGGCTCTGGGAAGCTGCCCAGACCCGACCAGTTACTCAGCCAGCTGTGTGTTCTTGGGCAGGTAACTTAAACTCTCTGAGCACCTGTTTCCTTCTCTGTAAAATGGGTCCTTCAGTGAGTTATGTGACTCTGCATAAAGCACTTTTAAGGGCACAATAAAATTCTACCATTATTACCAAAGGAAGCCAATTAAAGTGTTGGGGAAGGTAGATGTTCTTTGAGGGGGTACTGCCCCTCCCCCCAGAGCCCATGCCTATCTTGCCATTGCCCTCACTCCTACCATGAATAAAGGTCATCGTCGACTGGACCTAGGGGCACCCATCGGCCAATGGACCACAGCTTCTGGATCTGGGCACAGGAGTTTACTGGACTCTTGCCTGTGTCTTCCCATGTGTCTCGATAGCACAGGAAGTAGCTGGGAGGAGAGGCAGTAGCAATTAAAAGAGATCCATTTCATAGCTTTTTCTGTTGAGGGCTTTGGTTTTGGAGTTGAGGTGGAAGTTCAGAAGTTGACCTGAAGGTCTAAGGTAGGGAAGTGACTCAATATGAAGGGCTTTTTCCCTGCCAGGCTGCTTGTAAGATGAGGACTTTTATTTTGATGGATAGATGGGTTAACTTAAAAAAAAAAAAAAAAAAAAAAAAACGGGATGTCTTTGCAAAGCCCCTTGGGTTCCTGATTGGCTTTTCACACTTGGTGGTAGTGGTTTAGAGGCCCATATCTGCATTCTATATAGGGAAGGGGGGCACTTTGATTTTGGCAGGGGGGACTCACTAGTCCACATGGGAATCTTGCCCTCGGCTGCTGGGCTCTAGGGTGGTCTCCAGGTTCCAGCGCATCTTCTTGTAGAGGTAGCGGGGGAAGCGGCTTGCGGTGTATGGGGCTGGGGCGCAGTATCTGAAGATGGACACCTCATGGAAAGGGCTGATGGAGAACCTCCCGCAGAAGAAACAGGAGATGCTGACAGGAGATGGGAAAGTAGGGGATGAGGCTGGGCTCTGGGTCCCACTATTCCCTCCCCCTCTCCTACCATTTTACCTCAGGGGGTCAGTCTCTTCTAAGTCCACGAACCCAAAGGAGGCATACATGAGGACCAGCTGTTCTAGGCGCAGGGTCAGCTGTTGGGAGATCTCCAACAGCTGCATGGAAGAGGGGGCATAATGAGATCAGTGACCTTGCCAGGAGCACCCCCCAGGCCTGGGTGAGAAAATGGGTGTGAGGTCCAGAAAACCTGCTTCACACACCCCCTTTCGAACCAGCTCCTGCAGGGTTCCATAAATGGGGGGCACACTCCGTGCAGCTGCCTCCAGGTACAGGAAGTAGGGCTCACACATCTTTAAGAAGGTGGGCATGGCCTTTGCCAGCTGTTCCTTCTGCACTCGGTCCCTGCTGAAGAGAGAAGGGGACCTTTGCCTGAGGTCCCTCATCCCCCTCAGTTTCTCCCATGTGCCCCACCACCTGTATTCCTGGTTTGACCCCCATCACGAAATTCCCCAGTGCCAGGCCTTCTTCCAGCAGCACCTGCCTCAAAACCCACACCTGACTCTGACTCAACACGGCCTCCCTGGGGATTTCACTGGACGCTGAAATTTGAGAACCACAGCCCCAGTAATTACCTTTTCCCTGGTCTGCTAGTGACATTAACCTTTGGAGTCTTAAACTGGTCACCCACAGGCCAAATCTTACTCAGATGGGTTTTTTTTTTTTTTTTTAGGCTGCCCAGCGTTCAAAATCTGAGCTGACAGTTACAAACTAGAAGACAAAGTCCTGGAGATGTGGCCATATGGGGCCCATCCTTCCTCAGGATGGTAATTGGAGGTTGTCCCCCACCCCTAATGCTACACAATCTTCATCCCTTTTTCAAACTGGCTTCCTAACCTGCTAGCTTCATTTCCTGCCTCTATCTGGCTCTTTGAGCTTTTGAGTTTGAGACCCTGGTGTGTGTGGCTAACCCATCATCCTCCCTTCTAAGTCCTCTCACCCACCAACTAGGACCCCATCCGTCCGGCATCACCTATAGAGCAAGTAGCTCTGGAAATCATCAGCCTTCTTTAGCAGGTAGCGAAGCTGTTCGGTGATGGGGCTGAACATGGTGTCCAAGGGCAGGCGAGGAGGGTCCGGCCCTGAGCCTGAAGTCAGAGGCTCTGGGGACGGCGTGGAGCTAGGGGGCTCAGGCAGCGCCCCCGGAGCATCCAAAAGCTCCAGTTCAGCGGGGTCCGCAGGCCTGTCAGGGGGCGTCGACCACGAGGGCTCTCCGCGGGGTGGAGCCTCAGGTTCCAAGTCCTTCGGGGGTGTTTCCCCAGGGCCCAGGGGTAGCGGCCCCACGAACCACTGCTCTGTGGCCATTGCTCAGGGGGCGGGAGCTCTTTAAGGCGCCGCCGCGCACGTTGGCCGCGGGTTCGACCCCGCCCGGAGAGCCCCGGGAGTCTCTGAGCCTCGGACTTGCCTGGCCTGGGTCGGGAGCGCGGACCTCTCCAACTCGCCCCTGCCTCGACCTCTCAGCCTGCGCCGCGCCGCGTCTAGGGAGTTCGCCTCATTTGAATTTCAACACGCGGGAGTGGCGCGCGGCTCCCGGCCGCGCTGCGCGTCCGCGGGGCCCCGCGCACACGCGCGCTCCCCGGCACTGGCGGGCGACGTGGGCCAGCGCTAGCGCGGCCATGGCCTGGCGGTGTGGCTTGGGGGCCTTTCTCTTTTGGAGCGATTTCCCAAGGAGGAGGGATCGCCACTATGCACTCAAACCCTCAGCGGAGGTATGAAGGATGTCCAGACCCCACCCCCAGAAACGGACTTCCCAGGCAGGCCCTGGAACCTGTATTTTTTAAAAAGCTAATGGAGTTGAGAAACTGCCTTGTAAGTTACTAGCTAATACTTTACAAGCATTAGCTGTTACTACTACAACAATAAGGAGCTCTGGTGGTATAGTAGGTAACGCAATTAGTCTGCTAACCCCAGGGTTGGTGGTTCAAACCTACCCATCAGCTGCTTTACGGGAGGAAGATGAGGCAATCTACTTCCTTAAAGATTTACAGCCTTGGAATGAGTCGGAATCAACTCGATGGCAGTGAGTCTTTTTACTCCTAAAAATAAAAACCTTCACTTAGCTCAATCTCTTGTTCCTTTCATGCAGCAGATGGAAGGCCTGGAGAACCTACCCTCATCTCAGAGCAGAGCCCAGCTCCCCATCCTTGCTTCTCTGCAGTGTGCATACTGATAGGAATACAGCTATGACCAAGAAAAAAACCACTCATTGCCTGTCCAGTCAGCTTTTACTCATAGTGACCCCTCCTTGGGTTTCCCAGGCACTATCACAATGGAAGTAGATTGCCCAATCTTCATTCTGAGGAGTGGCTGGCAGGTTTGAACCTCCAGCTTCTGATTAGCAGTCAAATGCCTTAAGCACTATGCTACCAGCTACCAGAGCTCTCACACAGGTATGAAGCCAAATGCATGAATTACACTTGAAGCCTTTGGGTAAAGAACTCAGATTCCCTGGATGGTGCTAACAGTTTGCTCTCAGCTCCTAACCAAAAGGTTGGTGATTGGAATTCAACCAGTGATGCCCCAGAAGAAAGGCCTGGTGACTGACTTTTGGAAGATTACACCCATGGAAAACCCTATGAAGTGCGGACGCAGGTGGGCTGCCGAGTCAATGACAATATTTTTTTTTTGGATAAAGAATGCAGACAGATGTCACCTTCTGCCATGTGACCTTGAGCATCTTAAGCTGAGCTAGTTGTTTCATCTGTAAAGTGGGTTTTATGAGCTCCCTGCCTCATGGTGTTGCTGAGAGGATGACACAGAAAAGGCTCATAACCAACTGCTAGTCAGTCAACAAGTATTTGAGTACCTACTATGTGTCAGGCACTGTCTGGATGTGGGGGAAGAGGTCACAGAACAAAGGCAATTCCCTTGCTCTCTTGGACCCACTGCCATCAAGTTAATTCCAACTCAGTGACTCTGTAGGACAAATTAGGAAAACTGCCCCATACGGTTTCTAAGGCTGTAAATGTTTATGAAAGTAGACTGCCTCATCTTTTTCCCCACAGAACAGCTGGTAGGTTTGAATCACTGACCTTTTGGTTAACAGTTGAATGCTTTAACACCCTCCAAGAGGAGCTACTGTTATATCCCATTCACTCTGCTGCCTCTATCCTCAAACATTTCTGTCCTTATCCTGGGCTCTTCAACCCATTTATAAAACAGACTCCCTAACATTTTTTCTTTTCCTTTTTTTAAAATTTTATTTAAAAAACCTTCGGTGCAATATTAAAAAGCAATACAGCCAACTGGAGCGACAACTGACAAAGAAAGGGGGTGGGGAAGACCCAGTGATGCCACCCCAGCTACTCACAGGGCCCGGAGGCCAGGAGACTGGGAAGGGATATGGGTGGTGGGAGAGGGAGGGAAGATCACCCACCCACCAAAATGAACAAGTAGAAGAAAACATTTATATAGGAAACATCTGGCTGAACTGAGTAGGATCTTGGGGAGATGGGAAGCCCCCCTTTTTTTTTTCTCATAAATGTCCTGGGGTGGGGGGATTGGCCTCCTGGGATGAAACAGGTAGGCCCTGTCCCACTTGATACCCCAACATGGAGTCCGAGATGTGCTGGGGGCCGATGTGGGGGCTGGAGGGGGACACAGGGAGATGAGTAGGGAAGGTGCCCCCTCACTGGAATCTGTCATGAGGGCTGAGGGTGTCCCCGTCCAGAAGCTCCTGGACTCTGGGTGAGATGGGGGCTGGAATGGGTGGGGGCAAGGGCAAGGCTGGGTGCTCAGCCTAGAAAGCCATCAGGGTCGTCATCCTCAAAGTGGCCTTGCTGCAACACTTTGATGTGGTGCTCATATATTTTCAGGGCTGGGCCCAGGCGGATGGACAGGCCGGTCAGCACATCCGTGCGCTGCATGAGCAGCAAAGACTTGCCGTCGATTTCCTAGGCGGGACAGAAACAGAGCTGGGTCAGAGCTGGTGCCCACGGAGGCTCTTGAAGAGTCCAGATGTCCAGGCCAGGAGCTCACCTGCTCTTGGAAGGCCGTGGCCTGCTCAGGGAAGCCAGCTTCAGTGAAATACTCCACTACATCCATCACGGTCCACTCCACGGGGTCAGCGGGCTTCTCCTTGCGCCCAGAACTGCATGGAAACAGAGGGGACCGGTAATGCCCACTCTGGTTCTGCTCCATACCCCTGAATAGCAAGCACTCCCACGTCTCAAATGCTCCAACTTACGGACAGCCAAAGGGGGTCCCGTCAGCCCCAGGTAGGGCTGGTTTTCCTGGGGGCAAAGGCACGGGGGACGGGGAGTCTGGCCCAGTGGCAGAAGAGGCTAGGGAAGCAAAAACACCCCATGTAGCTTTGTCTGGAGACTGGATATTTCTCCCACCTGACACTCCCCTTGTGCTGAAGCATCCTTACCGGATCCCCCTTCCTTACTCATGGCTGCCATGGAGAAGGCCTGGCGGGTGCAGCTGCCTGGTGCTGACCCTCGCCCTTCATCTTGGCCCTGGTGGGTCCCACAGGGCGTCCACTCCTTGACCCTCTCCTTGGCACTCTGGGGACCCCGCTCGCCATTAAGCTGGTGGTGCTGGGCACCTGCAGGACGGTCACCCTCGGGCACTTCTGAGCCCTCTGATACATCATCTTCATCATCATCATCTTCATCATCATCTTCCTCCTCTTCTTTCTCAAGCGCACGCTCTTCCCCACCTCTCTGCGGCCAGGAACACAGGCACGCAAGGTTATAGCTGTTCTGACGCTATGCCCAGTCCCTGGGCCCCAGGACCGAGTCGCGTGCCCAACGCCACCTTTAATAGCAACATAGACTAACTTTTATGCATTTGCTCCATGCCAGGCCGTGTGTTAATAAAGCCCTCAGTAGCCAAATCTCACTAAACTCGTTCAACAACCCCAAGGGGTCGCTACTGTTATTAAGCCGCGTCTGCACCGGAGTAAACTGAGGCTTGGGGAAATTAAGTCACTTGCCAAGGTCACCACGCACTAAGCCCGCAGGATAGGAGCTCGAAGCCCCAGCCACTTTATCCCTCTCGGGACTGGCGCCCCCGCCACC